TGGGAGCAGGGAGGGGGGCTCCTGGGGGCCGAGGGGTGAGGGAGAAATCTTGGGGCTCCAGAGACCCCACGGAGACCGTGGCCTCTGATGCCCCGCCCCCTTCTCCAACTCCCGCGAGCTGTCATCAGCGTCCCCTGCCATAGTTACTTTCCATGGGCCCGGGAGGCCGGACACCCAGGCCCGCGGCTGCATCGCTGAGAATGGAAGTAGGAAGCCAAGGCCTCGGCCCCTTTGCAAGTAATGAGCCCACAGTTCAGACTTCCAGCCGCCTTCTCCTTCAGGCCCGGGTCCCCTTCTTCCCCAGGACTCAATCCAGGCCCCCAGCCCCTTCCCCCGGCAGACATAAGAGGCCTGACCCTCATCTTCACCCTCCCTCTGAACCCAGGGGTCATGCCCCCCAGCCCTGTAAAAATCCAGATTGCAGGAAATTCGACTCCCCGTCCCCCCAGAACTGACCTCCATCCAACCCCTGACCCCCCCAGAGCCCCCAGACCTGACTCCAGAGGAGCGGATGGAGCTGGAAAACATCCGGCGGCGGAAGCAGGAGCTGCTGGTGGAGATCCAGCGCCTGCGTGAGGAGCTCAGCGAAGCCATGAGCGAGGTGGAGGGTCTGGAGGCCAATGAGGGCAGGTGAGGACTGGAGCCGGGAACATGGGGGGTCGTGGGGCCAGGCCATGGGCCAGGGCTGCCCAAACATTGACCCTCCACCCCCCTGCTCTCTGCCTCTGCAGTAAGACCTTGCAGCGGAACCGGAAGATGGCAATGGGCCGGAAGAAGTTCAACATGGACCCCAAGAAGGTGCTTGGGGCCACGGGGCTGGGGTCAGCCTGGCGGACATCCTGACGGGGTGTGATGGTTGAAAGGCCTACTTTAGGGGGACAGACTTGGTCCCAATCCCTGGATTTCGCGGGGTCGACTGTCCATTTGTTCCCTGAACATTAGCCAAGTGCTCCAGCCCCCAGACCTTTGCTTGTGCTGAGCCCTCCGCCGGGCGGTCCTCTTTCCCTTCTTGTTCGTATTTCTGGACCCACTTCTGGTGTCACCTAGACTCCCAGGAGAAGCTCGTGTCTGGTTGGAAACAGAGACAGTGACATGCTCAACGGTGTCATGACAGAGGCCCCGTGGCTGGGGACACTCAGGAGGGAGCCGGGGGCGTCAGGGAGGACTCCCTCGAGGAGGGGGTACTCAGGTCAGGTTTGAAGGAAGAGCCAGTGTTCACCCGGTGGAGGAAGGCATTTGTTCGTTCATGCAGTTTAAGCCCGTTTCCTCCTGCCTGCCTTGGGCCTGCTCCTCCGCTAGCCAGTGCTCGGCCCCTAGAGATGGTTGACTCTGCTTGGCCTGCAGGAAGCCCCGAGACATGGCCACCACAGTCCAGAGCGAGAAGGAGGTCCTCATGGCGCTGGGAGAGCCAGAGGAGGCCGGGGTCCCGCCCGAGGGTTGGCCCTCACAGTTCTTGAAGGCCTGCTGCTCACTGAGTTTCTCGCATTAGTCCTCCTGCCCCGAGCAGTGTAGCTTGTTCAGTCCTCCGGCAGACAGCCATTGAGCTCCTGCCCCTCGCCAGACCCTGCTCTCGGGGCTGGAATGAACCAGGCAGAGCAGAGGGAACAGTGGGTGCCGAGGCTGTATGCTCTGAGGCGGGAGGGAGGCTATTTAAAGGCCTGTGAGAAGCCTGAAAATGACACCTGGCCCTGCTCGGGTAGCGTGGGTGGGTTTGGGTGCTGAGGTTTCTGGGGAGGTGGTGGGAGTGGCTGTCAGCATATTAGCACTGAGACCCGGTCCCCACTCACTAGGGGATCCAGTTCTTGGTGGAGAACGAACTTCTGCAGAACACACCTGAGGAGATCGCCCGCTTCCTGTACAAGGGCGAGGGCCTGAACAAGACAGCCATCGGGGACTACCTGGGGGAGAGGTGAGGTCCCGCCCCGCTCCTCTGGGCCTCTCCCCCCAGCCCCTTGCATCCAGCTCACTGCAAGCTCCTCTCCTGAGAAGAGACCCTGACAGACTAACCTTCCAGCTGGACTATGACAGGCTGGACTGACGCCGGGGCCTGGGGGAGCCTGGGGCCATCTGGGGAACCTAGGGACTGTCTGTGAGCATCTTGTCTGTAGGAATGTGTCACAGGAATGTGAGAACTGGGTAGACACTGATGTGCATGGGAACCGTGTGGACAGCTTGGAAGTATGGGGATTAGCAGCAGATATTTGTGGAGCCTGGAGACCCCGTGGAAATGTGGGGGCAGGAGGACCTCTGTGGACTCTGGGGTGGATGGGGACTGCCTAGAAGTCTAGGGCACGTGAGCCTGGACATCAGTGCACAGGCACCATCTGTGGGTGTAGGGAAGGCGCGGACTGTCTGGACCCTAAGGTGCAGGAGGGCATGCTGGGAAGTCGGGGAGGCCTGGGACCATCTGTGAGCATCTGAACGTCCGAGGTGCACAGGACTCTCTGGGTGTCTGGGCGCTTCGGGAGGGTGTGGGGGTCTAGAGTGTATGGAACTTTCTGGACATCAGAGGTGCGTGGGGACTGTCTGGGAATGTGGGAACTGATGTCTGGGAACCTTCTGTATGTGGGGACCATCTGGACAGCTGCGATGTGTGGCGACTGGGGACATCTGGCATTGTGGGGAATGTTTAGTGGACATGTGGGGGGTGGGGACTGACCGTGCATGTCTGGGGGGTTGGGGGCCACCTCTGGACATCTGAGGAACCTGGGGATTAGCCGAGAGGTGACAGTAGGCGGAGCACATGTTGGCTGCATTTCTCTGTGCAAAGGGTCAGCCACACCAGGGCTCTTAGAACAGACGATCCTCCCCAGAGCATGTTCTGAGCGCCAGGCCAGCACTGGGTGCAGAGTGGGGGCCTCCCCAGTGCTGGGTCCACTCCCACCTTCCCAAACGCCTTTTCTGAGTGCCCGTGCCTGTCCTCCCAGGGAAGAGCTGAACCTGGCCGTGCTGCACGCCTTCGTGGATCTGCATGAGTTCACCGACCTCAATCTGGTGCAGGCCCTCAGGTGAGAGGGACGGGGCTGGCAGGGCAGGAACGTGCCTGTCAGGCTCCTCCTTTACAAGCGATGACGCCTGCTCAAAACTAAAATAGAAGCAAAAATCCGGGACTTGGTTGCTGCATGTAACACAAAAGCCCATGGTGGGGCCTTCAGGCGCAGCTGTCTCCAGATGTTCCGATGGCACCAGAAGGTCAGCTTTATCTCTTGGTTGTGCTCGCCACTGTGCTGGCATTGCTGGCTGCAGGCCTGCTCTTACGTGATAACAGAAGCCTCTGCTGTCCTCCAGGCCTCGTTAGCAAACTTAGGAGAAAGCACTTTCCTTAAATCCACCACAAGCCCCAGAGTCAGTGCTCATTGGTCCGACTGGATCATGTGTCCATACTCGAAACAGCTGCTGAGGCCACAGGTTTGGCGGGACTGAGCGAGGGAAAGGGCTTCCGCCGGTCCTGACGGGGCACCTGGCCCCTTTCCCACGCAGGCAGTTTCTGTGGAGCTTCCGCCTCCCTGGAGAGGCCCAGAAGATTGACCGGATGATGGAAGCCTTTGCCCAGCGATACTGCCTGTGTAACCCCGGGGTTTTCCAGTCCACAGGTGGGCGCCCGGACACTGGGGCCTGGCGGGGAGGGGCTGGGCCTGGGGCAGGAGGCAGTGGGGCCACTGACCTGTGTCCTCACCCCCCGGCTGCTGCAGACACCTGCTATGTGCTGTCCTTTGCTGTGATCATGCTGAACACCAGCCTTCACAACCCCAACGTCCGGGACAAGCCGGGCCTGGAGCGCTTTGTGGCCATGAACCGGGGCATCAACGAGGGCGGGGACCTGCCTGAGGAGCTGCTCAGGGTCAGGCCCCCCTCCTCTCCCCACAGCCCTCCCCACAGCCCACAGCCCTCCCATGGGTCTCCAGTGCCTGGGCGTTCCACCTGGGATTCCCCTTTCCACAGACACCATTCCTTTTCTCTCTCCCCGCTGCCTCTTTCTTTGTCTGTTTCTCTTCCCTGTCTCCGTCTCCGGTCCTCTGATGTCCAGGGTGTTGGTTTCCCTCATTCTCCACCTCTGTGTCTGTTTCTGTCTTTAAGAACTCAGCAGGGTCTTCTCTCCATCTTTTCTGTCTTGCCTCCTTTCTCTCCTCCCCAGGGCTCCCTCCACGTCCCTCTGACTTCCAGGGTGTTGGTCTCCCTCATTCTCCACCTCTGTGTCTGTTTCTGTCCTTAAGAACTTGGCGGGGTCTTACCAACCGTGTCTGTCTTCTCTCCATCTTTTCCGTCTTGCCTCCTTTCTCTCCTCCCCAGGGCTCCCTCCACGCCTGCTTCCGCTTTCCTTTTCTCCCCAGGCTCCCCCTCCTCCATGGCTGTCCCACCTCTGGTCTCATTGCCCCCCCCCCCCCCCCCCCCCCCCCCCCCCCGGCCCCGG